GTATGGGCATCCTCTATGCGCAATTCACACGTTTGATGTGAAAGAGAGAACAACTGCTCAATATTTAATTACGTATACGTCCCCTTGGCTCAGTCCGAACTCACTGAGTGCTGCGCCTTATGACTTGAACTTTATCAGTTCGATTGGAGTGCAGTCTGCAGTGCTTATCGGCGCTTATCTGTGCCCAGTCCAAGCGAAACGGAAGCAACAACGCGTTGACAACTTCCTTTGGACACAGTTGTGGATTTTAATTGCCGTGACATTAAAACGAATATGTTTAGACGAGCTGCGGCCCAAACAGGTTCAGGCCCAACCACGTCTTACCTTTTGGCCCCGGCATGAATGATAATGTTAAAAGTAAAACAAAAAAAAAGTAAATATATTAACACGCGAACACTTTAAACAATGACAATTGACAATTTCCAAGAATTTGGTCAGAGTTGAGCTAAATGACTTAATGAATGAATGAATGAAGCAGTCTGCAGCTCTTCTTCTGCTCGCTTGCTGAAACTGAATGAATTTAAATATCTTACGCTTAGCTTGTGCAACAACAAGCAACAATCGTCAGTCGACAATCGACAGTCGGCCATCGGCAATCACATCAATGACATCATCTGCCGCGCCGCGAGACTAAGCAGAACCCAAACTCGTGCATTGAGGTCAAAAGTGTAAAATAAACTGAACAGACAGCAAATTTAAACCAAACATTAACAAACTGCCAAAGTGCCAGCCATGGCGTATACAAACTTAAGATTTCCTGCTTCTTTGCCGTTTCAGTTTTATTTTTTAGCAGTCCGAGCGAGTTTTTGAGTGCGTGTGAAATCGATGGGCGAACGCACTCGCGTCGTTAATTTTAATTGAAACTAATTAACGCACATATAAAAATAAAGTAAAACAATATCAAATAAAATAGCGAACGAATTCACAAGCTGTTTGCGCTTCTGGTTCTGGACTCTGACATAATAAGAAGACCCAAACAGAAATGCTCAAGTTTAAAAATAAGTTTGAGCATGAGACAATCAATCAATTGGACGGTAAACTTTACGCCTAATTATATATATATGCATATAAATTAATCAAGCACATATAAATAAAGCATATAGATACATCTTACTCTTATTCATATGAGTAAGGTTTATATGTATATGCAAAGATATCATTCTTATTTTTAGATAGGTGAGGCATATATAACTCATTTAAGATTGCTCGAAAGTTAAGCTTAATATAAGTCAAATACAGATTAAGGGAGGCCAGCATTATATAAACTACTTAAAAACAAACTGTATGCAATATACTTATCATATACGAAATTCAAGATAAAAATGCATTTCCTGCAAAAGTTGAACCAGCGACTTGTCGCTCATGAGTCCGATGCTCTGGCAACTAAGCAGCACAGGCTCAGGCAAACCCCTCTGCCAAAAATAAGCGCCTCTGAAAGTATAACCATTTCAGCACCAACTATTCCTTGTGTTTATTGATTTCCATTCAATCAGACTTGAGTTTAAATAAAGCTGAGCTCATTTCCATCCATTGGGCATTAGACGGTTTGGAAAAGTCTTAAGCAGCATAGCTGCTTGTAAATAGTTGGCGCACAATCGATCAATTAAAAATTGTTTAGCTTTGAGCTCAATTGATAACCCTCTATGAAGAGAAAAGAGTTGCCCAGCAAATAGAGCGAAGCAATTAAATTTAAGTGAAATGTCCAACATAATTAATGGATTAAGTTCAAATTGATTTGAAGCAAAGCAAAAGAGTTAATGATGGAGAGTCGAGAAAAAACTGCGACAAAATAGCGAGATGAGCAACAACAATTTATCAAGTTTGCAACTCGAATTTAATGCAGCAAATGTTGTAGAACATTTGTGTATCTCATTTTTGGACAGATACAATTTGACGGATACAATTTGACGGATACAATTTGACGGATACGCTTTGGCAGATTAAGCCCTAATTAGAGTGAAGCACTTAAATATTGAATGCGAAATTAATTAGCATTAAAAATAAAATAAAATTAAACTACAAATATGAAAAAGTCAACAATAGCCGGATATCTTAAATCGAGTCTTAAATCTATGAACCTGTAAAAGTTCTGACAAGTAATAAAATCTGTGCACAAAACTTTATTAAGTATCTTTTGTGATTCGGGCTAGGGGTTTTGCTATTTGGTGTGGATTATTTTTTGGTTTATCTCGTGCCTGGCAGCCAAACATTGCTTAAGCCCGAGCATAGTTTATGAAACTGTTGGAAAGTTGCCTCACGTTTTGGCTTCTATTTGCACTTTTCTATTATCTACACACAGAAACACACAGCGAGAGTGAGAGAGTGTGGGCAAGTATCTGATAGTTTGCTCTAATTTCAGTTGCCTGCGAGTTGCTTAAATATTTAGTAACATGCTCGTCGCCTTACAAGCTACAGCTACAGATACAGATACAGGCACAGCTACAGGCACAGCTACAGCTACAGCTACAGCTAGAGATATGATTAGATACGACTTCCTGTTTGCATTTGAGCATTGTTCTGAGCACATTCGGAGTATGTAACGTGTTAATGTTAATGGGCCGTGTTTACGCGATGGGCCAAAAAGCTAAAACTATTTCCAGCTCACATGTATCTGGGCATTTATGTTTGCTATTATTGCCTTGTGGTTATCCAACAGTATCTTTGGCTGTGTTTATTCTGTACTTACAGCTCAATTAGCAGTCGCATAGCGCGCGCAATTAAAATGAAATTGAATTTTATGTGTGTTGCGCCCAAGTGCGTAGCCGGGCTTACATACCAAATAGTTAACGCGCACAGATACAGATACGTAGATACATATTGTGTGTACTCATAAATAGCTGAAATACATTTATCGTATGCATGACACAGACATCAGATTAGCATCACAAACAGCACATAAACGTAAAAGTAACACACAAACAGTTGAAGAGCATACAACAAGAAAAAAAAGAAGGCGCAAGTCGGGCCAGAAGTTGAACTATGTAAACAGTAAATAGACGACAGGCCCGGCCAGGGGCTGGGCCTGAGACTGGGGCAGGGGAGGGCGAATGAGAAGTTCGGCATACACTTAAGCGAGCCATTAAGAGCAACGACCACAGGAATAGATACAGATACAGATACAGATACACGTTAACTGAGATACATAGATACACCTGGCTAGACATAAAGTGTTCGTGCCGGAGGCGCTGCTTTTGGCTGCCTCAAATTGGCGTTTGCAGATACGTAGATACATAGATACATGGTCGCAAATTAAGATTCCAGAAAAGCCAAACGCTAATAACAACTAACAAAGTCAAAGTCTGTGAAGTCAGGTCCATTGAGCGAGCGCTCATGTGGATAAATCTTTAGAGAAGTCAGTCGACAGTTGCGGGCGTTTGCTGCCATGTATCTTGCAGATACTTTTTTACTTGTGTTTATTTGTTAACTACCTGCGTGTGAGAAAAAAAACATACATCGCGCAGCAGGCAGGTAACAATACAGAGAACTGCAACATCATGCCACAGAGAGAGGGAGAGAGAGAGTGCGAGAGAGAGAGAGAAAAGTGTCTAAATGTATCTATGGAGCTATGCTGCTGCTGCTGCTGCCTCGTAATTGTGCGTAAACGTGTAAATACCAAGTCAAGGTCGGTTAATCAATAATAATTATTTTTCACTCAATTACGCGCCGCGCCGCGCTGCGTGAGCTGCTTTAGTTTGTTATTTGTGGCTCGCATTCCTGAGACAAACGCATAGATACATGGCTAGAGCTGTAGATACATTTATGCTTAGCTACGCTTTGGTTTATTTATCTCTTTACTTTTGTGAGTGTTCTTTTTTTTGCTGGCCATTTCGTTATCGTTGTTGTTTGGCTTAGCGCCGAGCAACATTCATGTGTGAAATATGCATAAACAAAATATGCCAAGCGAGATTTCGAGTATCTCATGGATGTAAATATACAATTGCTGTGTTTCGTATGTAGCCTTCACACAGTTAGATGCGTGCCACTTGATATGCCCGAAACCAGAATAACAAATGTTGATGCCGACATCTAGATACAGTCGCAGCAGCAACTGCCACACTCACAGCTAAAACTAAAGATACAGAGACGTACACAGATATAGATACAGATACATTATGCCATAATGAAGCTGCAGCGTGGGCTGCTCTTGGGAAAAGCTTTCAGGCCGAGCAACTTTTCGACGCGCTGAACATTGCCCAATACGCTTCTAATTGCGGACCCGGCACTTGCCCATGGCTCGCCTCCGGAACGGATGAACGCCGCCCAACCGCCGCCCGACCGCCACCCGCTCGAGTGACAGCCGGCTGCCCACTTGGACCTCGAAGTCGGGCCAATGAATTTGCATTGGGTTAAAGCTGCACCCGCCCCTTAGGCACAATTGGGCGCGAAGCGTTTGACTGCAAGTGATTTACTCGACTTGAGCTGCCGTTGCCGATGGGCAGGCACAACCAGGGCATATTGGGCCCGTGTTGAGAGATGGCACTTGTGAATGCATTTGACAGATGTTTTGTACAAAATTGGAGCTTCAATTAGAATATATATATAGAGTATATACGCTGCCTGCTAACTTAGCTAAGATACTTTGTAAGCAACAAGATAGACAAGATGGAACGAGGCAGATAAAATGTCTCAGTGAGCCAGTCGATAGGGCAAAGGAACAAAGAGGATTCGGGTTCAAGTCCCAGGCTAGGCTAGTGTAGGGATATAGTATCATCTGTATACTATACTTTCTAACTATCATAAACTTTAGCAGCCTGGATCATATAAATCTGCTGGCCATCTTTCTTTTCTAAAACAGCGAAATATCAGTTAGCTTGGGATTTGAACCAGCAACCTGCAAAGCAGCTAAACTAGAACACATTCCATTAGAACCATTTTCAATCTTAGTGCTTTCTCATATTCAACTATATCTTAAAGTGTATTTGCAGTCTCTTGAGCTGTCAGCCAGGTTTCGCTTTGCGCGCATCTCATGGCTGGCTGAGCTGTCGTCTGGTTGAACCTACCTTTTTCATTGTAAACTCCACTCGACCTGATGTCGATCGATTCGAAGTAACCCTTGACCGGCTCGCACTGCGCTGTATCCTTGGCGCGCGAGTCGCGCTGCAGACGGCGTCGGTGGTGCGTTGCGGCGCTGTGTTGATGCTGATGCTGGTGGTGCAGCTGCGTCTGATGGTGGTGCACATTCGTGCTGAGGTCGTCGTCGCTGGCAGCCACAATGTCTGCGTGCGTCAAGTGCTTGGCCATGGCCAGGCTGTGGCTGCAGAGCAGCGCGACAAGCAGCAGCTTGTGCTGCAAGAGGAAGAGGCTGCCGCCGGCCATGTTCATGTGGTGGCAAATAGTTGCTTATGCGAAAAATGCGAGCTGGACACCTGAGAACGGCACCTGAGAGCGGCTTGTGCGTATCTATGTATATGTGTGCGTGTGCGTGTGTGTGTGTGTGTGGACCTTTAGGATTTTGGGCAGCTCTGCTGCTGCATGTTGCACTGAACAGCTGTTCCGACACAAATACACTCACAAATACACCCACGCACGCAGAAACACACACACAATGAGAGCGACAGAGAGAGCGCGCGAAACAAAGAGAGCGGCACACACACAGTTAAACTTTTTGCACTTGCCGGTTTGGCCGAAACACACACACAAACAAAATACACAGAGAGTGCTGTTTGCCTGCTGTTGTTGTTGTTGTTGTTGTTGTTGTTGCCTCTCAGGCGCTGACGGCGCAAAAAAGTGTGCAAAAAACACGCGTATTTTTGTTGTCGTTGTTGTTGTTGTTGTTGTTGGTGTTGTTGTTGGTGTTGTTGCAGTTGCGATTGTTGTCGCGCTTTGTTTAAACTGAAATACACGCACGTCACACAATTTCAAATAAAGATTTCGCTCTTCCTCTCACTCTTACTAACTTTGCTTTCTTGACTTTTGTTGCCAGATTTTTTAAAGAATTTTCGAATTACGCCTACGATACTTCATGACATAATCGCAATTAACCCCATCTACATATGAATGTACACATGTATTTTTTTATATATGTATGTATATATATATTCATATATGTATATATGCAATGGGCATAGATTCGTTATCATCAGCAACAGTTTAAAGTTTCCGATAATGCACACTTGGACATAGAATTCGATTCCTTTTATTCACAGCTGAGTTATATGCGCCACATTTGCTTTTATTTCTGTTATTTTTTGCGAATTTTTTATTTTAATGCATTTGCTTTTTGGAGAGAATTGATTTTCATTTATATTTTTGGGGGAAGATTTTTAATTGATTTGCATTTGCACGCGTTTCAATTGCACTCGCGCTGGCGGCGGCTCTTGGCCAAGAATATATTCGAAATACGCTAAGACGTGCCTGCGATTACGATTGCGTATCTTTCAGATTTAGGGAAACGCTGTTAGCGCAGCGAGACGTTTGCACACGACGACGGTTCGTTCACAACTAACTGTATCTTTCACAGTTCACAGATACAATGCAAGCTCACCAGCTCACGCTCTCTTGCACGCACACTTGCGTGCCGCGGTTCTCTTTGCACTTGAGCCCTCTGTGGGCATGGGAACTTGACTTGCAGAGCACCAACAGCTGAACCAGGGCGATCCAGACACTTGCCATGATCGTGAGACTATTTAATAAATAAAATTTAGTATTAAATTAATATAAACAATAAGAAATATATAAAACAGAGCAGTTGGTTGTTGTTGTTGGTGGTTGGTTGAGCAATTGTTGTTGTTTCTTCTCGCGTTGAAGGCAACAACAATTTATAATGTGCACGTTTTGAATGCAGCATTACAGCTGTTATACTCAGAATGGCACTGTTATGCTCTCTTAAGCAAAGAGCGCGCTCTCTCTGCTGCTCAAGCACAAGCACATGACGCTGTTAACGGACAGTGGTGCGAAATAGTGCGAGCGCGCAAATTAAAATGTTATGTGAAGGGATTTGTACTAAACTGAAAATGAGTATGTATTAAATTAAGATTATCTAAAGAAAATAGATTTCAATATTGATTTAAAATGCAATTTTCTATAAAAGGCTTTGTAGAAAATAACAATAAGTGAAAGCAACAATGTTGAGAAGTGTTAAAACTGTGTTAAATGAAAATCATCTAAAAACTAGATATTTAGATTGAAATGTTGTGTAAAAGGATTGACAGAAAATAAGAAATAATTTCACTTAAAATTAAATAAAATTAATTGCATTTTATTTTAATTTTTAAAAATTAAAGCTTTAAATCAATTATTTTCGAGCTTAACAATTTTAGGTAAGCTCGTCGTTAAGTTTAATGACAAGACATCCCAGTTTAATGTCCGCGATTAGCATACAAATAAAGAACGTAAATTGATCTATGATGGGCTAACAAAAGTCAATCCATAAAACAAGGCGCAACTCTGATGGCCCGAGTTATTCGCTTTCATCGCAGCCGCACGGAATTTGCATGCACTTAAATCAAGAAGCTTAATTGACAGTTGATTGATTTCAGAATATTCCCATTTATGGACTTAACGATTAGTTAAATGAGACAGTTCAGACAGTCAGATTTGGCCCGACCAAGCGCAGGTAGCTGCGACACCTTTTTTTTGCGAAAATTGGCAAAACCTTATCGTTAGCCAGATTATCTGATCAATCAGCTCAGAGAGTTCCCTTTGCCAATTTCTTTCAAATGAGAACCCGACCTAGCACGCGCAAAGGTTTTTCTTTGTTTTATTTAGTTATTTGCACAGTTTGTTTTTTTTGTTTTTTTGCTTTTCCTTTTGGCCTGGCCCAAACAATGCACGACTTTTGGCCAGACTTTCACTCCAGAGACAAACCCGACTGTGGGCCAGTTACTCAGCACTTTGCGCTCGACAATCGCATCTATTGCTTCATTAACAAGAAACCCAAAAATCAGAGCCAGAAAAAATAGATATATATATATATATATATATAGTTTGCTTCACGGTGGTCAACAGCGGGGGTCCAGCTGCGGCGCGGCAACGCCCACATTGACCTTGTTAGCCCATTCGCCTAGATCCCGACGCTGATAAGTTCATCTGGATATAGGCAAATTTATATATATATATATATATATATATACATATTCAAAATACACAAACATTCTAAAAAGTATTCCTCGCATGAGTCATGCGCGCAGCGGAAACAGCTACAACAACAAAAATATATGTATGTATGCATATAAAAAAAAAAAACAAAATCAAATAACAAGATTGAAAAGGTGAAGTCGAAAATTAAACACCAGCACATCGTTTAGATAAAGTTATAAATTATAATGTACGAACGATCAGCGAGAGAGAGAGAGAGAGAGAGCGAGAGAGAGGCAACCCTTTTGGTTCCAGGTTCCAGCTCGAGTCCAGCAACCCACACAAAAGCAGGTAAACGTTTACACAAGTCCAGGCATTTTTTACATGTGTGTGCGTGCGTGCGTGTGTGTCCGTGTGCGTGTGCGTGTGTGAAGAGCTGAAATTAAACGAATTTAGGCAAACGGCATCTATAAATTATGTTGCCTGGCGAAAAGTTTTTGATCTCTCGGCAATCTGAGAGCGCAGGCAAAATTGTTGTTGTTGCTGTTTGTGCTTCATGTTTTTTGGGGCAACTCAAATTTCGTTTAAACGCTTGATTTAGTGCAGCAAATATGGCCAATGTTGGGCGCATTCCACAAGCGACAGCGTTTTACACTTGAAATGCGCAGCATTTGAGCGACAGAGATGGGTAGAGCTAAAGAGTGAGCGAGAGAGAGAGAGAGAGAGAGGGGGGGGAGCGCAAGAGCGGAACCGAGTGGCTCTTTTATCCTGCGCGCAAGAACCGAGCTGAAGACTGGACCCCAAAACACGTTGGTGGCATTTTGTGTGTGCGCCGCCGACGTCGCAGTCCGCCGCCGCAGTCGACGTCGACGTCGTCGTCGACTGGTCCAACAGGTTCCAGCCTGACTGAGAGATTCTTCGGGCGGGCCCTGGCCCTGGCCTGACTTTGGCTGCGGCTGTGGCATGCAGCATTTCTCGTTTCTGTTGGCGCGCTCGTTTTGCACATTTTTGAATTTTATTTTAATTTCTTTTTATTATAAGTATTTTAGTTGCCGACTCTTCGGGCTGCCTCTGCCGCTGCCGCTGCCGCTGCTGGCCCCTAGCTTGGCTTTCCGTGCAACTTTTTAGGTTTTGTTTGATTTTTCATTCACCAAAAACTGGTTCGCCCGTTGCAGTACTTCTGGCCGGGACTGTGGCCGGGACTGTGGCTGAGACTGGAGCTGAAGACGCGAAGACATTGTTTGGTCTCAAGGAAGTTCTTGTTTGCCCGCTGTGTGCCCAGGAATGTGTGAAGTCATCGGGCAGCACACAAACACACACACACACACACACACACACACACAGACAGACAGACACACGCACACTCTTCCATTTGAATGCCAGAATGCTAAGCTCTTACATTTTTAAAGACCTGGGCGGCACTTGCCCCAGCCGAATCCGAGTCCAACACCGAGGCTGAGGCTGAGGCTGAGGCTGGGCCGCCTTGAATTCCTGCCTGCACTTTAAGGGCGTCTCGTTTTTCCAGCGAAAAACGGAAAATCAGTCAAACGCAACAGACATCGATAGCTCTACATCACATGGCAACAATCAATGTTAGCCAGAAACTGGCGATCTACACTGCGAGAAAAAGCGAAAGCCCGCCACAAGTTGCAACTCTTGGAGAGTGAGGGGTGGAGCGGGTTGTGTGTGTAATTGTAATTCTATTGCATTGCAGGATATTGGCTCTTTACGCTTGATTTGGCACATTGTGAGCGGCAGCCACCTGCCTCAACTGCCCAACCTGTCCACCTTCCCGCCCACCTGTCCATGGCCAAGGGCATATCAAAAGTGGTCCATCGTCTTTTTTTTTTTGTTTTTGGTCTGACAGCTACTTGTCAATGGCCGTGATGAGTGAGCGCCGCACAAGCCAAACCAACCACCCCCCCCCCCCCCCTGGCACGCCACTGCCCCGCCCTAGACATAGACTCGTTTGTGAAAGGGACTCGACCTGGGCTGGGCTTGGCTTTGGCAACCTGACAACGTGTCATTGACAGATTTCAATAAAACGAAAAACAGTAGAAAAAAAAAGCTGCGTATGAATGAAATCGATTTGTTGCCTCTAGACTAGCGCACAGTTGGGCGTGGCATCTGTGCCACACATCATTAAAAACATGCTAAATACAATATTTTATTTAGTGCAGATAAGTTTTAACGAGCTGGTGGCCACTTTCGATTGCAGCATGAATAAGCCCATTTGCTTGCCCCCTTGGCAACAGCAACTTGAACCATTCTATAAATATATATATATAAATACTTATCTGTATATATATATCGATATATATATATATATATATTAACAGTGTCCAGCGGGCCTTGGCCAAGGCAGAAATTAAGCGTCCAACCGCGAGTTTACACATCATCATCATTATTGTTGCCGTTGCCGTTGCCGTTGCCGTGGCAGCGACTGTTGTCGTGCTGCACATCCTGCAGCTCGCTGGCAGACGTAGCTGCAACGTGTGCGAATGTGTTGCACAATAAATAAAAATATTTATACATGAAACCCTAAATAAAGCATGAGCGACAAAGATGCGAACCAACTCGTCGTCGTCGCTTGCCGCATGCCGCATGCCGGTTGCAAGTTGCAAGTTGCCGGTTCGCCGATTGCCGGTTGCCGGTTGCTATCGTGGCCGCCGGCTCCGACTGCGGCTCCCAGGCCAAGTGGCAAAAATAATGTCGTGGCATCTGCATCTGTGCAGCCAGCAGCTTTTGCCTACACGAATTTCAAAATTGTCGTTGCCAATGCCACATTTTTTTTAATGCCCTTTCAAGTTGGGAGCTGCAAAGAGAAATATTAAAAAGGTTTTTTAGAAACAAGTTAAGCACTTTTTAGTTAACATTTTTTACCATATTTCAAAAAGACTTCCTCAAGCAAATTTATTTAAATTATCTAGAGCAACTTTTTAATTTTGATTTCTTAGAGCATTTTATAGACTTTCACAAAAGTCATGCAAGAAAGTTTTCTAGAAATTATTTAAATACTTTTTAACTAAAAATGTTGTACTTTATTTAAGAGATTTAAAAACATTTTTAAGAATCCCAGAAATAATTAAAATTACTTTAATTTTTGCTTTAAAAATGTGTGCAAAAATAATGTATAAGTTTTCTAGAAACTAGATTATTTTTTATTTTCAATTTTAATATTAATATATTCCTTTATGAATTCAAAAACTTTTGTTCTGTTTATTTTTTTTTTTAATTTTTTGTCCAAGTCAAAACTTGTAATTTGACAAATAAAAATGTATTAAAAAAATTGTTCTGCCTTGTATAATTTTTCTATAAATTGATTAATATTTATTATTTTTACCTTTTTCAGCCTCTGGCGTTATTAAATATATATAAGATATAAGAAAATATGTATATATATATAAGCTCATCAAAATAAAACATAAATCAAGGAA